GACCAGCAAGGTGGTGGGCGCTGCATCCCTTGGAGACCACCGAGGTGAGGCAACAATGCTCCGAGCACCTGATGGAGCTGGAGGGCCCTAAGGAGGGATGGGAGCCTTGCCCAAGTTGGCTCACTGCAGCGAGTTGAACCAGATGGTCTTCAAAGGTCCCTTCTGACTCAATGATCCCGCGACTGCCTTGAGGTGAGGCTGTGCCTGCACCATGGCTCTGGGCAGGGGCTCAGTGTCCCTCTCCCCATAGGTGAAGTACCTCACCCGAGACTGGCGCCTCACGCTCTACGCCCTGCGCTTCTCCGAGCTGCTGGAAGTCAACCAGGAGGGCACCAAAGTGCGGCGTCGCATCCCCATCCCTGACTCCATCCTCAACGTCCCTCCCACCAAACTCCTGCTGGCCTGGGACCCGCTGCCCCCAGAGCCGGGCACGCCTCCGCCGCTGCAGAGGAACTTCATTGAAACCATCACGCAGATGTTCAGCCCCTTTGGAGCCATCGCCTCCATCCGCATCCTCCGGCCGGGCCGTAAGCTGCCGTCGGACATGAGGAAATACGCAGCGCGTTTCCCGGAGCTGCTGAGCCACTGCTGTGCGCTGGTGGAGTACGAGAGCCTGGAGAGCGCGCGCAGGGCCTGCGAGGAGCTGGGCCAGCCCTGCTCCCGTGGCATCTGTGTGGTGAGGCTCTCGGGGAAGGGATCCAAGAAGAGGAGTGGGGCTGAGCAGGAGGAGCTGGTGGAGGCGCGAGCCAAAGCCTTTCCCTGCTCTGCTGGGGATTCGCTGTTCTGCAGCTCCTCGGAGTCGGATGTGGCCTCACCGCAGCTCCTCTCGGCACACGCTTGGCCCCATGGCCACAGCTTCCAGCCCAGCTCCTTCAGCAGCACCTTCTCTGGGTCGCTCCTGGCCAGCATGGCCTTCCCTCCGCTCACTGCAGAGTTGGGTCTCAGCCTCAGTGCCACCCCCAAGAGCCCCGATTTGGGCTGGGGGAGCACGTGGGCCCCGTGGCACAGCAGCAATGCCCACAGCCCCTCTGTGGATGCCACCTCCCCTCCCAGAACCCCCCTGGCTGTGAAGCCCAAATCCTGCGTGCTGCGCCTGCCCCACGGGCCCGATGGCACCAAAGGCTTCTACAACAGCATTGGGAGAGGGAAGTTTGTCCTCGAGCACTAAGGCTCCTTTACGTTTGGGTTATGGGATTATTTTTTTTTTTTTAATTATTTTTTATTTTCTTTTTCTTTTTTTTTTCTTGAGCAGAACATCTCTTTGTGGCCCATAGAGGCACCGCCGCTGCGTGTGGTTCTGTTTTGGAGTGAGGATGCTCAGGGAAGGGTGGCGCCCAAAGCTTTTCCCAATGCCTGAGCCATCCTCACTGCCCGTGCTGGGGTCTGTGCTCAGGTGATGGTCACTGGTTCTGCCCCATTGCTCCCCCACGCCCTGGGGCTGCTGATGGGGAAACCCAGAGCTTGAGCGTGGCGGGATGGTGGCACCATGGCCTGAAGGTGCTGTGTTGGCTGCACTGGTATGAAGTTGAGGAGCTCAGATGTGGAATGCTCAATAAAGACAGGTGACATTTCCAGGCACTTTCTGGCTATGAGAGTGACGTTATTTTTCCTCTAGTATTATGGCTTTATGCTGGGCAGATGAGGGGAGTGGGGGTACTGTCCCACCAGCAGCTTCCTCCCTTACTCCCCTCTGGGTTATTTGGGGTTATTTTGCTGCAGCAGGGAGGGCAAGCCAGGCTCTGGAGTGGGCCCTTAAGATGGGTGTAAATAAGGGCTTCACTACTCAGACCCTATTGTCGTGTCTGTCTGTCCCCCCCGCTTTGGACCTCCCATTCTCCCTCCCCCCGTTGGAGGACCCTGTCCCCCCTCCCTCCCCCCCTCCGTTGGAGGACCCTGTCCACCCCCGCCCCGTTCCCCTTCCCTTGGAGGACCCTGTTCCTCCCTCCCACCCTCCCCTTGGAGGTGATTCCATCTGCCTTTGGGATGAAGGCACAGTGAACTCCCTCTGCCCTTGGCCTGGGTTTCACTGTAGGGCTGGGGGTGCTGTGTGTAGGCAATGCTTCTGCCTCAGCCTTCCCCCCCCCCCCCCCCCAAGGTCTGTTCCAGCCCCCACCAAGACATGGAGATGTTCTGAACAAACAATCTTTAATAGATAACAAGAAAAAAGTTGTATAACACCACCCTTCTCCCTCCCCCCTCCCAATCCCATCACAAGGCCTCTAACCCTGCTCTCCCACCCCACTGCTGCAGGTGGAGGCTCTCTATTTGCGGCCCTTTCTCAGCAAGAAGCTGTTTCGTCGCTTTTTCCCCCTCTTTTCCAGCTTGGCTTTGGGCTGCAACTCATCGCCCTGCGGTGGTGACAGCAGCAGAGCTGGTGGTGTCAGATCCTGCTGCATCTCCTGGGTGCTCATCTGGACGCTGTCGAGCTGCTCCACGCTCAGCATTATGCTGGAGGCTTCAGGGATGCTGTAGTCAGAGGACAGCATCTCTTCGGGCAGCGAGAGCGATCTCATGTCGTGACTGGAGATGATATCGTCGAGGTCAGCGAGATCCCCGAGGTCTTCGAGCATAGGGACGCTGCTGGGGTTGTCTTGGTTGACCACCTCCATCTCAGGGGAGCAGTTGAAGAGCCTCACGGCCTCCTCCAGCAGCACCTCGTCGGGCAGCTCGATGTCTAAGCTCTCCAGGTTGGCCCCCATCTCTTGAGGGTCGGGGGTGGTGGAGGTGCCCATTGGGGTGTCACTATCGAGCGGGACGATGCCATCAGAGGGCACAGCAGGGCTGCCACTCGGAGGTGCCTCCGAGATCCTCAGCTGCTGGATCTGCCCCTCCAGCTGCTGGAAGTCAGGGACCGACGGCAGCAGCGGGGTCACGGCGCCACCCTGCTGTTTGTAGGGCACAAACGGCTGCGGTGGGGCCGGGGGGGTCACCCAGCTCTGCGGAGCCCCGGGGGCGACGTTGGGCAACGAAGCGGAGCCCAGGGGGTTGGCCGGTGGCGGCGCGGTGGTGGTCGCCCACTCAAAGTGAAAGACACGGGGGTCGAAGTAGCAGCCGCACGGAGCCATCCACAGCCCTGCAGGGGAGAAGGGGAGTTGGGGACGGGGCTCCTCGGGACCCCCCGAGAGCTCCCATGGCGGATGGGGGATGTCTCACCTGGCGGGGGACCGCGGGGCGCGCCGGGTGCCACCAGCGTCCCTATAGCCGGAGGTGCGAGGAGGGGCTGCTCCATCGCAGGAGGCTGGCAGGGTTTGGCTGAGCCTGGAAGAGGTGAGAAAACGCCATCAGTCCCCTCCCAAACCGACGGGAGGAGCCCGGGGTGGGCGGGCCGGGAAGGGAGCGGGGCGCGTGGAGAGGCCGGGGTTGGTCCTCACCTACGAGGCTGAAGAGCTCGGGAAGGATGAGCGGCGGAGCCGGGGGGCCCTGGGGGCCACGAGAGGAGCGCAAGGCGGCAGCCAACTCCATGCGCTGCTGTCCGCTAGCGGGTCCAACCGACTCTGCTGTGTTTGGGGTCTCCCAACGGGAATTGCCAGGGGTCCCAGCGTTCTATCCCCGCCCACCGCCCCCTCCTCATCTCGTCTTAAAGGGAGAGGAAGGGTTAACGGGGGCTGCTGTGACCCCACAGCTGTGGGTCTTTATGGGGTGGCGATGGGGCAGGGCTCGTTGGCCCCATTGCAGCCCAGGAGCCGTTTTGTGGCTGTGGGCTGTCAGCGCCGGGGCATCCCATGTGGCCAGCGCAGGGATGTGGGTGCTCAGGGCTGGATGTGGAGCCCCATAAGGATGAAAGTGGAACCCCGTAGGGCTGTGTGTGCTTAGGGGTGGACGTGGAGCCCCGTTTGGGGGTCCTGTTGTGTTTGGAGATGCTCTCTGCCTGGCACAACGAGGCTCTGGCTCTGGATGCCTGACTGCCGTGACTGACTTCGTGATTTACTGCAGTGACTTTTGGTGCAACCCTCAGCATCGCAGCATCGTTCTGCCTTGGCAAACTGCCTGGGGGGCTGCGCCGTGGGCCATCCATCCTCTCCCTTTCTCCCTGCCCTTGAACCCACTGCCCCAAAACACATCTGCTCCCCACGTGCTCCCAGATCAAGGCACCTCACAAGCAAGCCTGGGCTGAAACTTGCACAGCTTTGAACAGCGATTTTTGGAGATCCCCTTCTGCACCCTGCTCTGCAGGTGGAACCACAGGCAGCAGGGACTGAGTGCTGCAAACCCCAGCTGAGACCTGCCTGGACTCATTGGTGGTGGAATGACGGCAGGCAGCGTGTGAACATGTGAGCATTGCTCAGCTGCACCAAAAGCCCCTCTGCTGCTGGAGGAGCTCATTCAGACAGCAGCTGCTCTTTGAGCAGGGAAGGAACGCCCGCTGCTGCGGTGCGGCTCTACCCAACCTCAGCTGCTGTGGTTGCAAACCCCTTTTGTACCCAATGGAATATTTTGGAGGGGATGAAGCTGATTCAGCCCAGCTGACTCAGGGATGTGAGCTGTCTGCCTCGTGGCTGCACTCGTGGAGTCTTTGAGATACAGAGCAGCTGCATCTGTGACTGCTGCCTGTTCTCAGCAGCCTTCACTGCTGTGCTCGAGTGACACGGGCACAGAAAAAGCCCTCGAGGCAGCCAAGGGAAGGTCACTGTGCTGTCACCAGGCCTGCTTTCATTCACCCTTCTCTTTAAGCAGAGCTCGTGATGGAAAAACAGCTGCTTTGCATCCCCCCTTCCAGCACAGCCCTTGAAGGGGCCGTGTGACATCCAGCAGATGACAGCAGCCCCTGTGAGCTCCCCAAAAGGGACAGGATTCTGTACAACATCAGATGGTGGGAGGGTGAGGGTGGATGCACTCTCCAGGACCCCCAGGGATTGGGTCCCTACACCTCACCCTCCCACAGGCAGGATTTGCCCCTGACCCAGGCTATCCCCATAGGAACAGAGTGCCACAATGGGAACAGCAGGGTTGAGCGGTGGTTGTGACGGGTAACGATGCTCAAGGTAAGAAAGCAACCGCGCTTCTAAAAACATAAAAGTTTATTTTGCTTCTGCGTGCAGCTGAGCAACGCGCGCCATCCTGCTGCCTCCCCTGCACTCGATGCTGCAGGAAAGGGCTGCACTGCTCCTATCTGTAGGAATTGGCCTTGTGCTTGGGCAGGAAGGTGAAGTTGGTGGGTACAGGTCCCAGGAGCAGCTCGCTGAAGGGAAATAGAAGAGGTTTGTGTTCAGTGCGGAGCCACTGCCACCCCCACCTGCTGCACGGCACCGGGGCTCTGCTCAGATGGACCCAAAGCTTTCACCTTCCCACATGGCCCCCAACTGGCTCTAGAGCTGAGCTTGAGCCCTGAACCACAGCGGTAGGAGCACAGACTCTGGCTCTTGGCACAGCGCTCACTGCTGGGAAGTCACTGAGGGTCAATGCCAAAATGGGATTCTAAGTTTGGTGACCTGAATACCAGCTTCATTGCTGGCACCCGCATGTCTAAAATCAGCACAAGCCTCTGAGAGCTCCTCCCAACCTCTTGCTGTGCTTGTGCAGAGCCAAAACCCCGTTAGTGCCAAAGAGTATTAAGGCTGGATCCTAAAATGATGTAAGCCAGTGCTATTGCGACTGATCCTCGCTTAAGACTTCAACTATTTCACACTTGGGAACCCACGCTGGATTTCCAGCGCAGAGTAATTTTCTTTACAGTCCAGGAGGCTTCGTGTATTTCCTGGATGCTGGTTCAATACAGCACCACTAAAACTTTCCATAAGACATGTCAGCAGAGTATCCCAGCAGGGCACATTGCTGCGTAATGAGAAGCTGCGATGGTGAGAGCAGAGCAGAGCATGCCTGGCAGCCCCCTCGGCTGCTTCACATCTCCTTACAATAAGCTTTAATGAATAAACCTAATTGGACTGGAAATTGAATTTTTATGGCTACGAATCTCTCTTAGAAGGTGCTGCAAAGAGCAGTGGTCACAGAGCTTTGCACAGCCCCACGTGGGCAGGTTCTGCTCGAAAAACCAACAATTAAAAATCCCAATCAAAACTTGACGTGCTCATAACTTGCTTTCAGGCAGCCGTTCCCAGCACTACGTGGATGAGGATTAGCAAAAACCAGAGAAGCTCGTGGCTGTGCTCTATTTTTGTTAATCTCCGTTTCCATGACACAAGGAACAGCAGCTGGCTGTGCTGCACCAGTTCTCATTTTAGCTGCCTTGGAAGTGAAGCCGCTTCCCAGCCATCGCCTGTAGGCTTGTAGGAGTGGGGAGAAGCAGTTGTGTCTGCGTTTTGTTGCACAAGCTCAGAATCAGATGCTGAGGAATGGGGGGGTCGCACTCGGTTCCCTCCAGCTGGGGAAGCTGCCCTGCTGCTGGGCTGAGCAGAGCTGTGTGCAAAGTGCTGACAGCCCCAGCGCCCCATCGCTGCGCTGCCTCCTCTCAGCTCCTGCCTGTCCCAGGATGAGCAGTGTGTCAGGAGAGAGGTCAGCCAGCCGAGGTCTGCATGGCTGTGCACGACCTCCTGAGGCAGAGGGAGGGAACGAGAGCCCTTCTGTGGCGACTCCAAGCTGGGTTCAAACCTCCAAGTGAAAAACTGCCTGAGCCCATGCTTTGTTACCTGATTTTAATCCAATCATCCACGTTTTGGCTTGCCATCAGTGTCTCCAGATAGTCTCTCCCTATGTAGTAAGGCGGCCGCTCGTTGATCTTCTGAGGCAGGCGCTCCAATAACCCGACTGGAATATACCTGCAGCAAAGCACAAACACTATGGGCACTGCGTGCTGCTGCTCAAGGAGGTGGGCCTGCTGTGGGGACAGTCCTCCAACCCGGGCACAATTACCTGCACAGGAACGAGAGCCATTCCAGCAGAAACTTCCTGGTCTTCTCCACACCCTGAGTATCTGACCCCCAGTGCTCCAGGCCGTAGTTGGTGAAGTCTTTGAGGATATCAAATCTCTCACTGGAGGAAATGTCCCAGTGTCTCTGCTCCTTGATTTCAGTGAAAAGCCACGGTTTGATGAGTGCCCCCCTGCAGCCCAATAAAACGTGCATCACCACTCCTGCGACTGATGCTTCAGAGAGGACTAAAATGGTTTCCAGCTCTCATCTGCCAGCCCAGCGCTGCTTGAGAAGCTTTCAGCCACTGTAAGCTCCCACAGACACACACTGTCCCAAGTTTCAAAGAGTAATTTCATTCAGAGGAAGCTCTTCTCATATTTAGAGTTGGTTTAGGGATTTCTGTTATTTTTTTCCCTTTTTTCCTACTTTTTTCCCCTGCACCAATAGGCTCAGAGGCAAAGGGGGAAATGCAGCCACTTGCCTTGCAATCATAATTCCTGAGACCCCGGTCTGCATGGCTTGATCAGCATCTTCGTAAGACAAAATATCACCGTTTCCTGTGCAGAAGGGAGGGAGAAGCCAGAGGTCAAAGTGATGCAGCAGGGCAAGTCAGAATGAGCTAATCCAGGCATGGGATAAAATTCAAGAAGGACACAGGGTCATATCTAGAGATCCTCAGGAATGTTTCTGATTAACGTTCCCATCACGACGAGGAGGAGAGCCTTCTCCTCTCTCTCCTTCTCTCAACTCCTACCCTGAAGGTTTAGCTGGGATTCTCTGTGCCGTGCTGCCTACCAACAGAAAGCACCTGCTGCAACCAAGGTGCTCTGCGTGCTGCCCTCCGTCCTGCTCTGCTCCACGCTCACCACGCCAGGCCTCAATCAAACAGGCAGAACTGAGCTGCACAAGACTTCGTGGAGAAGGGCCAGGGATAATCCAAGCTTTCCCCCAGACTGGATGTATCTGGGGGCTGTATTTTCCCCTACTCTTTTTCTTTTTAATGTTTTTCAAACTGCATCCCGAAACACCTACCAAAAAGAGGCATGGGGCTTGCTATTTTAGCACATTCTGCTATGTAGTCCCAGTCAGCAACTCTTGTGTACCTCTGCTCCCTGGACCGGCCGTGCAGCTGCAGAAAGAAGTCACAGTGAGACCTCACTGAGCACCAGAAAGGAGGCAGAACAGCACAGGAGCACTGCAGGAGCGTGCTTTGACAAGGCAATGCCACCAGGCTGGGGTAAAGGATCCTAATGGGTGCCCAGCTGCTAACAAAGCAGGCTGCAGGGGTGGTCTGCAACGCTGAGAGATGCTGGATGCTTTTCTGAGTAACGTTTGGGCTATTTGCAAGGCAGAGCAGGAAGTGACTGCAGGCAGTGAAAGGGAATATTCATGTGGGCAGGAACTACTCATCCCCATGCAAATGATTAGCCAGCCCTGATATAATGAAGCTCATCTGAATGAAGCCTCTGTTCCAAAGCCACCTCCTTTTGTAACGGATACAAGCTTCAGGAGCAGCGAGGACAATGTTCTAAATATAAAAGCATCACAATTTGTCTCTCTTTTTAGGATCAAGCACCAGAAGATAGCACACAGATAGCCAGAGGTGTCTGAAAGAGCTACTGAGCTCTGGGCAGGGGGTGAGGGTCACACTGGGCTGACATGCAAGCAGAGCTCCCTGGACAGCAGCCAACCATTTGAAGCCCCAGCACCATTGCAAGTATCCCAGTACCGTGACCATGGATGCTCCCCACTCCCGGATCTTGGGGATTATTTTATGGGCCATGTTCATCTTTTCTTGCACCCCTGTCCGTATCTTCACAGTCAGTGGGACGTCCAGCACCTGCAGGGAGGGCAGAGTGAGGCTGGAGAAGCAGTTCAGCTCCACCTGCTGCACTCCTGCTGGCAGCCCCGTGGTTGGACTCACCGAGTTCATCCCTCGGACAATCTGCTCAAATTTGTTAGATCGAGTCATCAGAGCACAGCCTCCACCCTGGGGAAAGAAAGGTGCCACAATCAAGACTTCCTGCTCCCTTGCATAGAAAAGAGCAGCCCTCTATTCACAGAAAAGCAGCTAAAACTCCACGACTTCCCAGACTTGGTGTGGTTTTTTGTGTTAAAACATTCCCTTTCTCCTTTTTCCCTCCCCACTTCAGCCTGCTGTTGAAGTCTAGTGTCCATAAACGACCTGGTAACTCTGGATCAAACTGACAGGGGCAGATCAGGGAGCAGGAAACGATGCAAACGACGAACATCTACGCACAGAAACAAGGCATGCTGCAAACATCTCCTTACCTTCTTGTAGACCAGGTCGATAGGACAGCCAACATTGATGTCTACAAAGTCCACATCAATCGTTTGGTTCAGGAGCTCTGCACATTTGGTCATCGTGTCTGGAAATGCTCCCTCCAGCTACCAAAGGGCGACAGTTTGCATGAGCTCAAGCAGCAGCTTTTTGCCTCAGAAATGAGTTTAATTTGGCTGCACTCACCTGCACCCCAAAAATATCCTCGGTGTGGTGTCGTTTGAGGAGAGCCCACTCGGAGGACTGGCCCTGAAGCAGGTTTGTGCACACAGCCATCTCTCCACAGGTGACATCTGCCCCAAAGCGTTTGCAGATCCTTCTGAAAGGGAGGTTACCACACTGAAAGACAGCAGACAGGTCGTTTGTGGGGAGATGAGCTCTGTTCCAAACGTGGCAATGGCAAATTTTGACCAAAGGACAGAACTGCCTACTTACTGTGGTCAGTGGGGCCAAGTAGAGCTTGCCTTGGATTTCCAACTGGAAAACAACCAGGGATGGAGGAGCATGTTAGCAGAGCTGAACCGGCAGCGGTAAAACACGAGGAGATCCCAGTTAGCCACTTTATCACCTGTCTTGAGAAAACTCAGTGGGAAACCCAGGAAATCACTGTTATTTGTTTAAGAACCTCAACAGCTCCCTGACACTGTATCATTTAATTGCTCCATCTGTTTTCACTGCTCAGCTTGGAGAAAACTCAGTTAAAGGTGTAGCAGGATGTAAGACTGGCTTAAGAGGTCAGGAGGAGGCAGTGCTCAGCCTCCCCTCAGGAGAGCACTGCACAGTACAGCCACATCGACCAGCCCCAGCCTCGTTTCTCCTTGCAGATCATTTCTACCCGCACTGACAGCTCAGCTCCTCATTTCCCTCACGTGCAAAAGGCTGAAGCTCCTCTTAGCTCCCACTCCTTCAATAACACCACTGGCTTCCAACAGCTCACCCGCCTGCATCCTTCCCCTCTCATGACAGTAACGTGGTCCCCATGCAGCTCAGCCCCCTCCCTGCCTGTCACCCAGCTAAGAAGTCTCTTCTGTCTTCCCAGGAGACACAGGCAGCAGCCCTTGACCAAACTCTCACTGCTCACCTTCTTCTTCTCACATGACCTCAGCTTTACAATGTCTTCATCTGTCACTGGACCTGCTGTTTTGGTGGGGCACCCCCCCCTGCTTTCTATGGGCTGAGGACTCTGCACGGGAGCTGGTTTGGAATCTCCTCCCTCAGGTAGCACAGGACATTGTGAGGGGTCTCCCAGGCCATCCTCAGGCGTCGTGCAGTTGGACACCTCCTCACCCTCTGCAGAGCACCCCGGGGCTTTGCCTCCTTTCCTATCATCGTGGTGGGGCTTGGCCAGGCTGCAGAGATACTCATCAGCTTTCTTAAAGGTAAATTTCTTCTTGCGCAGCTGGTGCTGGAGGTCCTTGGAGAGGTTGTTCCTCACCAGCCATTTCCCCTCCCATTGCTTGGCCAGCTCCGTGTTGACCACGTTCTGGTATCCATCCCCAAGGTGGGCCTTGGCAAAGCGACAAGTGATGCCGTAAGGACACTTGCCAAAGGTTTCAAACAGCACGCAGCTGGGCCCCAGGTCGGCTGGTTTTGCTGCCATGTACTCGCCGACATCGTGAAGGAAGCGGCACCGTGGGCCAAAGTAGCATTTGTCTGCACAGCCCTTCAAAGGAGAAAGGAGAGATTAAAGCTCTGCCCTCTGCTTCCAGTTGTGGGCATATCTGTACTACCGAGGTGAGCCTGAAGAGGGGAAAAAACCACACCGAGCACCCATCACTCCCTAAATGACTTTGGCCATGCCACAAAGCATGAAGCCAAGTGCCAGTGCTGGGGGGCACTGAACACCTGAGGGGCTGTTTTAGCCCTGTGGACTCAGGAAAGCTGGTGCTTTGCTTGCCCTGGTCAGCCTCACCCTACTACATGCTCCCCAAGCAGCCAACAGAGGCAGTTCTGCCAGCACAGCCCTGTGCCCTCAGCTCCCTCCTTCTGGGAGGGATCTTTGTCTTCAGTCACTCTGGGATGTGCTTCCCTAAGCTAAAAAACAAAGAAACCCACCGAGAGCAAAGCAAGGCATCACACCGCACGTCACACCTGCGTGACTGATGGACATAACCGGCTCTTCTCATAGTGGTTGGGCTTCATGCAGGGTCTGCTCTTGTTCTGCCCTCGGGCTCGTTTGCGCTCCACAGGCTCCTTCTCTCCGTCTTCGGGCTCCTTCTCCCCATCCCTGGACTCCTTCTCCCCGTCCTTGGGCTCCCCTGGGCTTTCTCCATCCTGGCCCTGCACATCCAACCTCCCCCGCTTGGCAGGGGGCTCGCTCTGCTCGCTGCTGGCCTCCTTCTCCTCCTCACTGTCACCTTCTTGGCCACCAAGCTCTCCGTTGGCCCTCAGGTAGGCATGGAACTGCTCTTTGGAGGTGACAAACCTGCAGAACAACCATGAAGCTGTGAAGAACTGCACTGCCAGCAGCACAGGGCTGTGAAGTGCCCCCACCTCCATCCTCGTCCCCAACTCCATCCCCATCCTTGACCTCATTCCTGCTCCCAGTTCCACTCCCATCCCTAACTTCATGTCACACAGAATGGCCGGGGTTGGAAGGGACCCCAAGGGCCGTGAATCTCCAACCCCCACCACACACAGGGCCACCAACCTCCACATTTCTCAGCAGCCCAGGCTGCCCAGGGCCCCATCCAACCTGGCCTTGAACACCTCCAGGGATGGACGGGGCATCACAGCCTCTCTGGGCAGCTGTTCCAGCACCTCACCACTCTCACAGCACAGAACTTCCCCTCATCCAACCTCAATCTGCCCTTCCTCAATTCAAACCATTTCCCCTTGTCCTGCTGTCATCTCCCCTTTCAAAGAGTTGATTCCCCTCCTGTTTGCAGGCTCCCTTTAGGCACTGCAGGCTGCAATGAGGTCACCCTGCAGCCTTCTTTTCTCCATGCTGAACAAGCCCAGCTCCCTCAGCCTGTCTTCGTAGTGGAGGGGCTGCAAACCCCTGCTCATCACTGTGGCTCCTCCAGACCCTCTCCATCAGCTCCCTGTCCTTCTTGTACTGGGGGCTCCAGATCTGGACACAATGCTGCAGACGGGGCCTCACAAGAGCAGAGGGGGACGATCGCCTCCCTGTCCCTGCTGCCACCCCTCTGCTGATGGAGCCCAGGATCCCGTTTGCTTTCCAAGCTGCAATCACACCCTGCTGCCTCACGTTCAGCGTTTCACCTCTCAGGACCCCCAGGTCCTTCCCTGCAGGGCTGCTCTGCAGTCTGTACAAACACCTGGGATTCCTTCAGCCCAAAACTCCGTCTCCATCCGCACCCCCTTCCCCAACCTCACTCCCATCCCCTTTCCAATCCCAATCCCCACCCCGCAGTACCCCAGGATGAGGCCCTGTTATCCCCACTGCCCTCCTGCAGGCCGCAGCCCCTCAGCGAGCATCGGCAGCTCCCCCAGCCGCACCCCGGGACCAGGCCGGCCCCTCAGCCGCCGCAGGGAGAGCTCCGTGCGATGGCCGATGTCTCACGGAGCGGACAGGAGCTCACGCTTGGCCTCGAAGCCGGCACTCACCGCTCCCGGACCGGCGCCACTCCCGCCGCCGCCATTGCTGCCGCACGCGGCGATGACGTCACTCACGCGACGGGGGCGGGAGGCGCGTGCTGGGCGGCTATAAAAGGGCGGGCGGAAGGCGGGTAGCGGCAGAGCGGCGGGTGGTGTGGGCTGGAGTGGGTGGGTGTTTTACGTACGGCCGTATTGAGGCGCTCGGTTAGGTTCTGTGAGGGGTTGCGGCGTTGCTGGGGGCTGCGAAAGTCGGCGAGACCTCTCAGCTCTGCCCTCTGTAACGAGAAGGGCCGCCCCAGCCCTGGATGAGGGAGCCCGGCCTGCAGCCTTTAAGCCCTCGCCCTTCCCCCGGCTCCGTGGCGGCCCGGGCTGAGGCAGCAGAGCTGCTCCGTGCCTCGGAGCCGGGCTGGAGGTGGCCGGGGTTGGGAGGTGCTCCTGTGGCCTCATCGCGTCCTGTGGGGCCTTGCTGTGAGAGGAGCTCCTGGCCATGGGTTCTGCCTGTTGGTAGAACAGCTGAGGCCCTGCAGAGCTGTGGGGTGCTTGGATGGAGTGGCTGTGGGGCTTTGTTGCTTCTTTGTTTTCCTATGCCAGGCAGCCCAAACAGAGGGTGTGAGTGCTCACGGTGCACAGAGCCGTTGCTGCGCCGTGCTGCCGTGCTGCCCATCCTGTGAGCAGCCTGCTTGTAGCTGCTCTGGTGGTTTCCTTGCAGCGCTGCCCAGCTCCCACCCAGCTGACACACGCACAAATGTTTTATGTGCCCGGTGCTGATGGGGAGAATCAGCCTGTGCTCTGTGCAGCAGGCGGAGGAGTGTGACAGAGCCACCACTGGGGTTATCCACCATAGCACCACAGCCCTGCGGTGCTGCCATGCATTCCTGCAATTGAGCTGAGGAGGCTGTTCCCAGCTGGTGCTTCTGAGGCTGCCCCGAGTGCATTCCAGGCCTCGTGTTTGGTCTATAGGTTGAATTTAGGGCTGCGAGATAAATCACGGCGTTGAGTTCTTTGGCTGCATGTCTGTGACCTTTGCATCCCGTGTAGCTGCTGAATTTCTTATGTGTTTGCAGCACTCGTTGCAGCCTCCTTCCTGGTCTGTGTGCCAGAAGCATTGCATAGTGAGACTTAAACGAGCAATACCTTGTGGTAAAGGACTTTGTGCCTCCTGGAGTGGTGAAACCTCTGGAGGACGTTTCCTTTCCATCTCAGGCTCTCATCCCTTCCTTACTGCTACACTCTCACCTGTGCAGTGTATTATTTAACTGATGCTTGATCCTGGCTGCTGAGAAGGCTGGCTAAATGAAGGCAGACCCATTTCCTCTTTCTTTCCTCTCCTCTGGAACGTGCTTTCAGTCTTCTGCTGGAGCACAGGTACCAATAAAACAGAAAGAGGAGGAAGGTGCCCTGCGGTTTGCCGTTAGGGGCTGCTAGAAGCTGGTGATGAGCAGCTGCTCCTGCAGTGTCACGGAATCCCTGCAGTGTGTGTGTGCTTATGGGCACAGCAGGGCGGTGTGTGTATGTGGGGGATGGAGGTAGGGTTGCACGTGGGGCTTTAATTTTGGTGCTTTCCTCCTTTCTGCTGCCTTCGCGCGGTTCTCTCCAGATGCTCCATCAGAAATGTCTTCTGGGAGGAGCTGGGAGCCTGGCAGGGTGCTTCTGCTCCTGCCAAGGGTGGGCAGGTTGTGTGATTGAGGCAAGCTGCTGCGAGAAGAGCTTTTGGCTGATTGGATATTAATTAGTTTTGGAGAGAAATATGAGGAATGTTAAAATACTATTTTAAGCTTCAGCTTGGCTGAGGGAAGGAAGGAAGGAAATGAGGCCGTGGGGATTAATGAAGTGATTTCACTGATGTTTTTGTGGGGCAGTTAGCCTGAAGTCAGAGCGCTTTTGACTTGCAGTACTTGGCTGAGGTCAGGCTTTCACATCTAATCTCCTCTCAGGACACTGGTGGGTTTATGAGGCTCAGCCTTAGGCAAGCTTTCTGGTGGTGAGAGAGGAGCACGAAGCTTCCAGTACTGGAGCTCTGCAGGTGCTGTGGGCTGTGCAGCAGCACTGTTGCTTATGCACAATGCAATGGGGACTTGGGCTGCAGGTAAGGGTTGCTGGAGAGTCTCTGCTCAGAGCAGGGATGTGCTTCTCCTGCTGGCTGGCTGCTTCGGTTCTTACTGTGACCTGGTTGAGCTGAGGCTGACAGTGGGGTGGGGAAAGGGGTGGTTTGGAAGCCTGAGCTGCGCTGCTTCTGTGGGTGAGCAAGTGCTCCGTCTTTCAGAGCCAGGCTTAGCATCCGTCAGCAGCACTAAAGCAGCTTTGGAGAGAGCCAATACCCAACAGCACACTGCAAAAGGCCACGGGGGGGGGAGGGGAGGAAAGGAAAGGTTGATTGCAGGAAAGTGTGATACATATACAGGAGCAACCAAGTCAGAAAAAGTTCAGCTCCTTCAACGTCCAAGTAAAACAAGATGCGTGCATTAACAAAACTACACCTTCCACGGGCTGCTGCACAAAAGTCGGATGTGTTGAGCCCCTGGTTCTGGCTACTACACCCAGGCGTGAGCTGAAAAATGAGGTTCTGTGGCTGCCCTGAAAGGTCGCCTCTGCAGCTGCAGCGGGTGAGAGTGGGGATAGAAGTTTGCACCGGTCACATTTGTTTGGATGCCTTTCGTAGCAGCACTGTAATATTCTGACAGCCCGCGCTGGTTAATCATGTACGTGGGCAAATGTCACGGAAGGCAGGTGTGAGATTTGCTGCTTGTGTACGAGCCGGGCAGCCAGAGCTGGAAGTGAGCCACTGGGTCCTATCCGTCTTTGGGTTGAGGCAGAACCCATTCCTCATGTCTATTGCCTCCTCTTTTATCCGGCCTTGTTTTCAAAGCTCGGTGCAGTAGAGCTTCCAGCCTTCTGCAAAGCAGTCTATTCCCATTGCTCATAAATCTACTGTCAGGAAGCTGTTTCCAAGATTAAAGCTTAAACGTTTCCCCTCTCTGGTTTCATCCCCCATCTTCCCTTCTTCCCAATCACCAGCTCTCACTCTCCTCGCAGTGCTGGGCACTTCCCAAGGGCGGACGTGGGGAGATCAATGCCCCCAAGGAGACCTGCATTGGATGCTGTGGAAATGGGATGTGCTCCTCAAGTGGTTGTGATTGGCACAGCCAGGCTTTGGGCAGACAGCTGCCTAATGGCATTTGGCAAAGTCTGTTTTGTCGTGGTTCCCCCTCGGCTGCTTTACGAGCTGCTCGGAGCGCTGACTTAGCGTTTGGCCCACAGATAGGAGTTGTTAAAGGTCGTTGCTTGGGCAAGGCCCGTGTGGTTTTGGGATGGGCTGTCAATCCTCTGGAAGGAGGTTGGAGTTTGGGGTCCGTTGAGGAGGTTGTGCTGCTGTGATGAGGGCTCTCCAGGGGGAGGAAGTGCAGTAATGAACCAAAATGGAGAGTCTGGGGTTTGCGACGCCTGCTTGGTGCGTGGGCAGGGAATTCCAAGAGAGAGGGGAAGGAAATGGGCGAGCAATGGGGAACAGTGGAATCTCTTGGCGATGGCACTCAACCCTTCCTTGGTAAAGCTTGGAGGAGATCCCAAATCTTTTCTCAAACCCGAAAATAGCGAGGGGCTGAGTGCAGGAGGAGGCAGGATGTGCTGGGCACGGCCGTGCTCACCGTGTTCTCCCCAAGGCTGCTATGGGGCAGCTCTGTGGGTTGGGTGGAGACAAGTCTTCTGTCCTCTATCTGTGCAGGTCAGCTCCCCCCAAAGGGCTCTGTGCTCTGCCGTGGGGTCAGGGAGGTGAGGGTTGGGGCAGGAGAGGTGCGTGCTGTCAGCCCTGTCAGTGGCTTCTTCTAATGCCATCTACCACCAGATAAAACATTTTTACACTTTTAAAGAAAACGTATATATTTTTTTGCTTGAAAAAGCAACGCTGAGCTTTGTTCCTGACATTTAACTCAGTCAGTGAGTGACAAACCGAATAAAAATTCCTGTTTTTTGGGACAAAGGCTTCCAAGATCCTGCTGCGACTGCAGCGTTTCATCATTTCCGAAGTGAAGTGTTTCACTGGGGGGGGGGCTTGGCGGGTGGGAATTAAAAACAAAAACTAAAAATGATGCGTTTCAATGTTTTTCTAATTATTTCCCCCATTTTGGCTGAAGCTACGAGTCCAATTTGGCCCCACTTCACGAATAGCTCTGGAAGCTTCCACGTCTTCTATTTCAGTGACTTTTCCCGTCATTGATGAATAATAGCTCAATCTCTGCCCCGCCGAGTTCCCATTCACCCCTCTGTGCTCTTCCTGCCAGATTTGCAGCTGGGTTTTGCTCAGGGTGTTGTGGCTGCTGCTTTCCTGCACTGCATTTGTGCACCCACAGCACGGTTGGTTCTTCTGCATCTCAAGGAAAGATCCTCAGCTGTGGAGGAAGGGCTGGTGCAGGGCTGGTGCAGGGCTGGTGCAGGGCTGGTGCAGGGCTGGTGCAGGGCTGGTGCAGGGCTGGTGCAGGGCTGGTGCAGTAGGGCCATAGGTTCTATGGGCCAAGCTGGGCTCATCCATGCAGATCCATCTATCCTCCTGGCACAGCGTGTCTGCTGTATCCCAGGTGAGAGATGTCTTCTCTTCCAAACCTATGAGCAGCTTTCCACCCCCAACTCTCCTGGAGAACCTGAGGTCTTCTGTGTTGCCTGTTTGTCCCCGCAAGTTTTGTACAAGTCAGAGGGGAACGACGCATGTTGATGTTTAGGGTGGCAGATGGTTTTGTTTAGCTTGTTAATCACAATAGCCTGGCCTGTGGCTGCTCCCAGCAGTGGGTACTGAAGCACTCTGCACGAGCTCTGCTCATTCACTGCTCAGGGAGGATGTTCCTGAGCTTCCAATGTGCTTCAACCCCTGGCAATGTCCCTGGGAAATGCCCTGCTCAGGGACAGATGTCGCTCTGGGATCAGCAGTGAGGAAGCACAGCCCTGTCCCTCTGCTTGTGCTCCCCCAGCCCAGGAGGGGCTGTGCACCTCACTTTACCCGAAGCCCCTCCCAGCTTTTGACTCTGCATACTCCATGTGTTTGGTTTTGGTTTTTTTTTCTTCCTCCTCCTAAACAGGAGA